ATCTTATTTTGTTCCAGCTTGTTTTCATTCCGGCTCGTTATCTTTTAATGTTGAAAAAACTGGACTGCACTGTTTCAGCTGGATGTTTGCCATCTTTATACTCAGCTGCTGGAGTGTGATGTTATTTGTGTCAGGTGTGGATCGTACAAACAACAGGATGCCAGAAAGGTATATTTTTATACGTCTCATCCAACAATTAAATTGCTCTATCTAGAGGTACCATACAACTTGATAGGTTTTATCTGTTTTTAACATTTGAATATAACATTTGGCCTTTAGAAAAAATATTTTTTTATTATTCTAACTGCTCACTTTTGCTCAAAACTTTTATCTTTAGTTATCATAATGCATTTTTGATACTTAAGTACAGTAAATGTCAGATACTTTAAGTTGTTTACTCGAGTAATATACTTAAAGGAGACTACTTTCACTCAAGAATCACTTTAAGGACTGATTTTCATACAAGAAATCTTCTGTATTATAGGTTTTCCTCATCTGTACAGCAGTGGTTCACAGAGGAGGGGGTCTGAGAGAGAGACAGAGAGGGTTGGCTCACTCTTTACCTCTCCTCCCTCTACTTTCTCTCCCAACACAACACCGCACACACACAGCCTCTCCAGCTCTCCAAAGCAACAGGCGAGAAGAAGGAAGAGAAAAGAGAGCAGCTCCAGCAACTTTCTTCGTTGTTTTTTTTTCTCCCTCTATTTGCGCCCGAGGGGGCGACGAGAGGCTTCCATAAAACATGGGAAACGTGGCGCTTTTTCAGACGGATCGCTTGGATATGAGAGGGAAGTGAAAACAGGAGGGGAGGACGCGCTTCTTATTTTATGAGACGTCAAAGTTTTCCGTCGGTTAACGAAGCAGGCGCCTGTGAGCCTTTCTCTCCCCCCCGTCCTCACACACACCCCACCTCAGCTTGGTGACTGCATGTCCCCGGGTCTCTGCGGAGGGCAGTGAAAGGATGCCAGGATGCCCTGTCTGATCTCCCGTCTGCTCGTCCTCTGGCTGAGCGTGCACAGGCTGGTGTGGTGCTCGGAGCGCGCGTCCTCCGCCCGCGAGCGCTTCAAGGTGGTCATCGCGCCTGTCATCTGCAAGCGGATCTGCCTGAACGGACAGTGCCACGACCGGTGCGAGCAGGGCAACAACACCACGCTGATCGCCGAGAACGGCCAGGGGGCCGACACGCTCATCGGACAGGGCTTCAGGGTCGGTGAGTCAACGAGACAAAGCGCTTTCTTTATTATGGGGG